TCACAATAAAAACAAGGTGTAAAACAGTTGTAGCAAACATTGCAAAGTGGACCCAATTTTCTATTGTTATCGAACATGTGCCTATCACGATACTGTATATTGTTATCGTTTTATTGCCCAGCCCTAAGTACAACAATAGTAGTGATGGGTGAAGCCCCGTAACACACTGAGGTTCCTGCCAGACTGTTTTAAATGTGTCAAATGCCCCTGCACTATAGACTGTAAATATTAACAGAGATAGTGACGCCTATTCCCTCTAAAAATTCAGAGTTGTCATTTGCTGCTTAAAGCAATAGTTTACATACCAAAAATTCTCATTCCACCAAGATAATTGTATAGCTAGACAGCTGAACCTAAGCCACAGAATTATCACAGCAGTAGTGGCTGTCAACTTAATTTGAAACCACTAGATCTCGCCAGAATACACCAACTTGCTACGGGACGTGTGTGAGGCTGCTTTTATACCACAGGTGCAGAGAGACGGACAGAGCTGTACAAATCAACGTTGCTTTGTACTCTAGGGCCAATGGAGATTCCAGGAACCAAATTCATGTAGTGCCTACGAAAATGTAGAGAGGGCGCCACACAAACGGTTTTAGGCATAAAAGTTAGATTTTATATAATTTGCACTAAAATGTCAAAAAAAAAAAAAACAGGATATGTAGAGAGCACTATAAAAATATAAAATATATAAAATAAATAAATATATTTATGCAGTTAATGAGTTGTCCTTTAAGAAAAAATATGATTTATTTGATTACTTGATTCATTGAGCAGGATATTCGATAGAATACTCGAATGCAAAAATATTCAATTTGATGCATAATTGACAAAGACATCCCCCCACTGCTTTTCTCCAAATACTCTAGGTATTTGAACAAAAGCAGTGGGGGAATGTTTATGTACCATAAAATCCTCAACTTATCGTGAATGCAGAAAGAGTCCAGGTCTGCTGTTAACATTATACAATCTGTTCATCTATATACAGGGATCAAGAGTTCCGAGCTTCCGGCTCGACCGCACAGAATTGTGGGTAGTTTTCTCAAAAAAGTGGGCATGAAATCACGCTCTCCTATTAGATTAACTGTTGCGAGCGTGATCTGTCTCTCTTTTTAGAACAAAGAACTTGGCAAATATGCTTTCCAATGTAAAGCTCCATACGACTGGAATCTCCTTCCGGCCTCTATTCGCTCTTTAACTTCTTTTTCTTTTTTTAAAGTTGCTGTACTAAGGCATCTATGTAATGTTTGTCACTGCTACTGAACTTTCTTTTAAATATTATATCCTTTGGTTTTCACTGTCCTAGTTTGAAGAGTAGGGTGACCTCTGACCTCTGAGAGCTCTGTGTGTGTGTGTGTGAGTTTCTGTCCTTGTATTGTTTTGTTTTTTTGACTGTTATTTTATTGAATTTATTTACTGTAATTTGTTATGTTTTTTATTTGTTACACTTTACTGTAACTGCATTTATTTGACAACCGCTGCTGCTACTTGTGTTGCTATTTTTGAGGACCCTCCTGAAAACGAGATGATGCATCTCAAGAGGCTATTCCTCGTAATAAATGTAAATTTTACCAGCCCATCGATTGTTTTAATCGCTACAAAAATCACCAATTTCAGACATTTAGAAACTGACTATAGAGCTACATGTAGCTTATGCTACGAGGATCAAATGCTTACACGCGAGCTTTATAAACTTGCCCAAAGCTGTACTTTGGACATATTTGTCTGGTGTGGAGCTTCTGAATGTAGAGAAGGCCAAATACCTGGGGCACGTAATCAGGAGTGACCTGTGACCTCAGTGATGACGATGATATTCAGAGGCAGTACTGTAAGCTGTATGGACAGGCTAACACTGAAGCACGGAGATTTCACATGTGTATAGAAAAAGTCAAAATAACTTTGTTTAAAGCCTACTGCACACCTCTCTATACTGCCAGCTCACTGTTTTTTCTTAATAATGTCCCCACTCTGAATACTCTGATCACAAATGTTATTCATAAGTTCATGAAACGCTCTGAGGGCTCTATGTCCAAAGTACAGCTTTGGGTAAGTTTATAAAGCTCGCGTGTAAGCATTCGATCCTCGTAAGTAGCATAAGCTGCGTGTAGCTCTATAGTCAGTTGTGTTTACATCTAAAACCACAAGAAAATAAATGCATTGGTTTTTTGTTACATGAAAAAATCTTCTAAATGTCTGAAATTGGTGATTTTTGTAGCGATTAACACAATCGATGGGCTGGAAAAAAGAGACAGATCACGCTCACAACAGGTAATCTAATAGGAGAGCGTGATTTCATGCCCACTTTTTTGAGTAAACTACCCACAATGCCGTGCGGTCGAGCCGGAAGCTCGGAACTCTTGATCCCTGTATACACGTACACAAACACCCCCCTGATGACATCATGCATTGGTAGTGGTACAGATTTGCATTGTATGTCTAAATAAGGAAAATCACTCTGAGGATCTCTTCCTTATGAGAAATCATAACAGCGCTGTGAGATTTGATGAGGCCAGAAGTGTAATATAAAGTCTATATTTAGCAGAGCACGCAGATAACAGCATGAACAGTTCCCACTCGGCTTATCTTCTGCTGTTCAACTGTGTCACAAGATCATTTAATGCACGGCCAAGAGCCGGCAGGTGAGGCCCCAGTGGAATTCACTTTTATTATTATTGGTTTGTTTTTTCAACTGTGGTCATGAGTATTGTTGTTCCCTTAGGAAGCATCTCTTTCAGAAGCTTCCTATTCTAGTCCCTGGGACCTGTTCCAATCATGCCCCACTGTGAGGAGACCGTGGGGATGACCACATCTCTTGGCTGGAAATTAAAGGTCCTGTAATATTCTTTTTGACTTTTCTCAGCTTTAAACATCATTACAGTGCTATTTTGGCTTCATACACATTCCCAAAGCAGTCTTTTCATTGATTCCTACAAGCTTTAGTGCGAGAGAGATCTTTCGCTTTCATTCTTGAGAGGCAGCAAAATGCCATGGACTACATCTATGACGTTTGTTGTCCAAAATAATAACAATAATAATTGGATGGAGGTGATTGCCATATTAAAACTGTGAATCAGCGCGCACAGCCTCTCTCAAGTCCACTAGGGATGTCCCAACCCGGTCTCGAGATTGGGCTGATGGTTTTTGTCTGATCTTTAGAACTGTAGTTGTGAAGTAGCAGTTTACGGTAACTGCGCACGCAGTTATTTAAAACTCAGTTATGGTAAAATTGCAGAGTGATGTTCTTGTTGCTACTAGTTAAAACATGTCAAAAGTGTCCATTCTGCTTTATTTACTTTCAATTGAGGTAACATCATCTCTCTGCAAGAAATGGCTATAGTACCACAAGATTTGAATGTTGTATGGTGTATCACTCATCATTATCACACATGTGCATAGGACGGATGATGAAAATGAAGAAGAGCGCAATATATGGAAACTTTAAAGTTAAAGTGAGGTAAATGAGTTGTCTGCATTTGATCCATGCCTCTAGAGAAGCCTGTCAAGAGCAGTGACCTGGATCTTTCCTAGATTTTTCTTTCCGTATAAGGGGCATGATTTGGGTGATGGCAGGGAAACCTGCAAAGACACAGTAACAAACTGCAAACAAAGGCCCAGACAAGAAATGGGACTGACCCACAGAGGCATGAGTGCCATAGCATGTTTCCATGAGTTTAGCCTAAATAGTGTTGGGAATGTCTCCAGTCAAATGATTACCTTTACAAATGCAGTTCATTGTGAGGTTTGTGACCACTACGCCTCACCGCCCACGTACCACACCTAACCCAGAACCCTCTTAAGCCACTGTTGCATCAGTCACTGTTTTAGGCCGTTCTCCTTCCTCCAACTACATTCTCCAGGAGGGGCTCCCAAATCACCTGGGCTACCCCCCAGACTTGTGTTAGAGGGTGACTTCTGACACATGTCTTCATCCTCCAGTGGGGGGGCCTGGAGGATGATCAAGGCTAGGCAGATCACAAGAGTTATATTTCACATATTTGTTGTGCCATGGTTCTACCTCCTGAACTTTGTGCCAATCACCTAATGTTTCCACTGACACTATGTGGAATCCTTTAACACATCAAATGAATAATATAAATAAATAACCCCATGATCATGTGAACATTTTCAAAACCCACAAAAATGGAACTCCAATTAGTCACTAAGATTAGATAAGATAAGATAAGATAGACTTTATTGATCTCACACAGGAGAAATGTACATGTCACATCTAGCATGGATAGAAACACTCAAGATTGTGCAAAAGAAAGACATGTGCAAACATGTTAAATGCAGGATATATTATCTACAATAGAAAGTGTCCATTAAAAAGAAACAGTGGCAATAGTAGTGCAGGTTTTTTTTTTTGTCCTAGTGCAAGTGACTTAAAGTGACTTATTGTACAGTCTGACAGCGGTGGGGATAAAGGCCCTGCGGTGGCGCTCCTTCTTGCACTGAGGGTGTCTCAGTCTTCCAGTGAAGGAGCTCCTCAGCTCCTCTACAGTCCTGTGCAGTGGGTGGGAGGTATTGTTCATTATGGAGGTGACTTTGACTAGCACCCTCCTGTCCCTCACCTCCTCCACAGAGTCCAGGGGGCAGCCCAGAGTGAAGCTGGCCCTCCTGACCAGCTTGTTCAGCCTACTAGTTCCTCAGTCTACTAGTTCCTCACCCTAAAACAGTTGTGCATGTTTTGTTGGCCTCTGTCACATTTTAAGATCAGATAGAAGTAAAAAAGAGAAGACCACCCTCTGAAATAGTGACTCACAGGATTCTTACGTAACACAGATAACACATTTTCCAATAAAATGACGACAGCATGTTGTGGTCTGGTTTGTTCACAACATGTACAAACTCTGCTAGACAAACAGCATGTATTTTATGAAAACACCCCAGCTTTCAGTTTACATTCTACCACTATAGTCTCAGTTGACACCTGTGTTAACACTCTGAGCCCGCATTAGCCGTTGAGCTACTATCTAAAAGAAGAAGAGGCCACGTCTCACCTGTTCTCCTGTGTGATCCAGTCCTCCTCTGCGCGCTCTGCCTGGATGATGCAACAGGCGGTCAGCAGCAGCAGCGCGCCCGGGAGAATGGGCCGCATCTTGGGACTGGCTCCAAGCAGGCTTTGACTTTCTCCGTTTAGGCACAGAGCCGGTTAATGTGCAATCCAGGTAGTTAGAGCAAAACAAGTGCACCTGCCAGTCACAATAATACACGAGTGTCTTGCTGTGTTCAGGCGTATTATCCACAGCTTTATCTGGAAGAGAAGTAGTGGAGAAATAACCACCAAGCTGTGTGAACTGGCAATATTACACCTGTGTTATATTGACTTTGTTTACCAGCCTACAATTGCCTAAAATGCACCAATGGAACATTTAAAGGAGCAATATGTAATATTTGCATGTCAAGTCATCATTAAATGACCCAAATATTTCAAAAGGCGTTATTAAATCATACTCTTTTCGAATTCATCTTTAACTGATAACAGTAGTTCAGCCGAGATATTTGATCATCAAAATTAGTTTTACGACCCGTAAAAGTTGTTATTGTTTTGATTTTGATGTCCTACCCTCCGCCGTTTCGCCAATCAGGAAGTGTCATGTAAGTCAGTGATCGAGTTGCCAGAACTCCGCGCGGCTCATTAATCTCAGTGGTAAAATAACATGTGGCGTAGAACTAAAAAAGGTCTTGTTATGACTCTCAAATAATTAATGACAAAACAAAGACTAAAACGAGGATTTATATCGGGATGCTTTTGAACAATTGAGACAGCTGATAAAAGTTCACGTGTGATGCAGAATTTTCTACTTTGATTTCCTTCTTCACGGTGTCTCTGTGCGTGTGAACCGGTGGCCTAGCGGTCTAAGCTGCGCGCTTACGATGCAGAAACCCGGGTTCGATTCCGGGCTATGTCTTTTTGTATTTATTGCATGTGATCACATTCTATGACAGATTGCTCTAAAAACGGTAAAAGATGAAGGTCAAGACGTTTTTTTTTTGCAGATTATAGCTTAATTGTAAAAATAATCATTTAAGACCACATGTACCCCAATTAAAATAATGTTAGTCTCTTTTTGATGTGGGACTTTTACATGTTTGTCTAAAAAATAGGGAATAAATAAAATTGAAAGGTGATATCCTCTTGAGCAAACCCTGATGTTGATACGCTGAAGAAATACGTTCCAACATCCATTCTTCCCACTCCTATTTTGGACATCAATTTCTTATTTATTTTGCATAAACTATGTATAATTACATTGCTTTTATTTTGTTTTTGTTTTTTATCTCAAATGTCCAAATTATAATAATAAAAAAACATGAATCAAAACATTCATTCAGCATTAGCACGGCTGTCATGGCAATGTGAATGGAGACGGAGAAACAACTGATAAAATAATTCCCTGTGTTTGCTGCTGGATTTGGTGCGAATCTGGCAACCTGAGTCAGGGAGAGTGGGAGAGGACTACAAAATATTGACTGTGACTGCAGTACCACTTTTGGCCAGATTTTTACATATTGCTCCTTTAAGTCTGAGCAAATGCTTAACTTCTGTGTCAACATACGTTCAAAATGTGTACTGCTGCCATTCAGCGAGAATCAATACATGATATGAGCAGTTTAAAAGTAAATTGAGGACTATTGGAGACAAAAACATGCCTCAGTAATGAATGAAGCACTATTTATGCAGAGCGGGTATAGACTGCAGTAAAGGTTACCTTATAGAGGGAGGTTCCGTATCCGAATGGAAAATATCCGGAGTTGTGAAAAGTAAATCAGTAAATCCAGTTGTAGTGAAGTGAGGAAAGTTCGCGCCGGCTCTCACGCTGAGTCTAAATAAGCGGTGGGCGGAGCTATGGGTTTGTGCGTGTACGTGCACGCGTTTGCATGTTCGTGTGTGTGTGTTTGTGTGTGTGTGTTCGTGTGTTTGTGTGTGTAGTGAATGTGTCCCTTATGTATTTGTTTTTTAGTGTATTATTTTAACTAACTCTACAGAAAATGTATACAGGTGAAACTCAGAAAATTAGAACATCAACTTAAAATGTGAAATAATTTGCCTGTTATAATGTTGATTATTATGGCTTACAGAGCCAATTATCAGCATATTAACAAATAAAGTCTTGATATATCTCCTCACTTTACATGTAATGAGTTTATCATAGTCTTACACTTTAAGTTGATTGCAGATGGAAATGAAAGTTTATTTTAATTTTCCAGGTTTCACCTATGCCAGCAAAAAAAATGAAAAATTCATGTTTTTTGCTGGCATTTTACACCTGCGGTCTAACTTCAGTGGAAACTAGCTGTGAAGGTAGTTCTGACACTTTTACAGTATTGCTGATTATATCATGGAGTGGATAATTTGTTAATTGGTTTTATTTGGACTGTTTTAGTTTTACTTCCTGTCCTGTTCCCTTGTCTCTCTGTGTCTGTATGTTCCCTGTGCTTATCTCCCCTTGTTGCTGGTCCATTGTCATTGTCTGCGTTCCTGGTTCCTGTGTTTAGTTTGGATTTTGGTGGGGGGTTTTTTCCTGAACTATTATTTATTAACATGAAATCATCATTTTTTTTATGCATTCTTGCATTTTAGGTCCTTCCTCCATCTTACCCCAGGTAACTGAAAGGACCAGCCTCAAATGGCCTCCGCAGAATGCCTTTTCTTCTACACCTGCTCCCAGGTCGCCACTAAGTTTTTTGGGGGTTTTTTGCCGACGTCCTTTACTTCACTGCCTACCTTTCAACTTGTTACCTCAAACCACCGACAGGGCCTTATTTTTCATCTGGGTTGGTCTCCTGTTCCCCTCCCCCTGACCTGTTGAGAGAGGTATCCAATGGAGTCCTGGTCTGATCTGCCTGCTGCCCAACGTTGACCTCTCCTTCCCTACACCTGTTGCCACCAGACATGATCTCCGTCTGGGGTGGTTCTGTTTCCGGCACTGTGTTACCGTCGGCCTAGCCTGGTCGTACCACACCATAGTACAAATTTTGTACTAAGGTCTGGAGGTGCTCCATTGAGCTCCGTGAACAGGTGGGAGGGGTTAACTCCTTTTGCAGATTGAAACGATTGGATCTGAGTTTACCGTCACGTATGTAGTGCGCCCGAGTCTGTTGTTAGCATTTAGCCTAGCCATCTCCTTTGCCGCTAACGGAGCCCGTGGGGAGTAGCGCCACAATTTCTCCAACGATTACATTTGCTAAACATTCCTCTTGCTCCAGCTTCAATTTCTTGATAGAACCAGACTGGATTACTTTACTATCGCTTTTTTCGCCATTGCCACCACAACCTTCCCGTTTGACGCAAACTCTTGACGTCACCCACAACTAACTATAATTACCCGCCTTCCGCGCTCTCTGAATGGTCGGTCGAGATTCAACCGATTGTAATTGCTAACATGGAGACCAGTTCCAGACGTTACATGCAGTGAAATGATGATTGAGTGGAGTGTACGGATGGCTAAGGCCAGGCTACCATCGTCTCCGTCTGGGGTGAGTGAGTCTCCTTGTGGAAGGTTAACACTGCTCTACAGCTCCTGACCTTGACTATTGTTTGCGTTGGACACTGCTTTTGGCCCAGGGGTTGTTCCGGCTTCTGGACTATCTACCTCCATCATATATTATGCCATAGGTTTGCTGCATGCAAATGTCCATGCATTACATGTCAATAAACATCATTTCATAACAGACTATACCGACCGGTCATTGTCAGACTCTGGAACAAGCTTCCCCCTGAGATGTGAGTGATCACCGATTTTGATTTTTTTAAAGCTAGGCTCAAAACTCACTCAGACTGGCTTTTAACACTTTTTAGTGTTACCACTTTTTAGTGTTTACCTTTTAAAAATGCTTTTTAACTTTCATTTTTATTTTTATCTATTAAAACACTCTTTTGTCGCCTTCAGTGTTGTAAAGGGTTTTATAAATAATATTTGATTGCTTGACTATGTCTGCTGTGTCTAATCATGCAGTAATTCATGTACATGCAACTTAATTATTCTAATACTTGTGAAACCAAGCCATTCACTCACACTCTCGTTAAGATCTCTGCAATGTTGAGAGGCAAAGTAAGAAGCAGCACATTTACGGTTCAAATCTAATTTGTTTTATGTTTACCATTAACGCACGATTAAGCGCATTCTGCGGTACCCCATGTACAGCCTGTGAATCCCTCTTGAGTGATGTCCACACAGTTGTTTCTGGGTAGTTTGTCTTTGGGAGCAGCTTCTCTTATCACCACACTCAGACTGGTGCTGGACGCAGATACAGTGGTCACATTCAAATGAACTTGGCACACACACAACGGAAAGGCCGAAGAGTTCTAACTGCAAACAGCAGTCTTTGGTGCTGTTTACACAAGGACGCTGCAACAGTAAAACGTTAGAGTCGGGTTGGCCTTTCGTTTACATGAAGACGTGTTTCAGGGGGGTGAAAACGCAAGGGTTGAGGAACAGCCTCCAGAGTGGAACAGAACAGATGCGCCACTCGGCGGAGGTTGTTTCACAGCTGCGTTAAGAAAAATGTTGTGAATCTCTATCTGTGATGACCTCACCACTTCTCCGCACGTACATTTGGACATGCACAGTAGCCAAGAACAAACTTGAATAACAACAGCGTCCAAACTAAACCGCACAAAGTTGTAGTTTTAGTTTCCATTTTTTGCTGCTACAGTTAAATGCAGAATGATTATTTCCTGGCTTAACGGTGGCCTGAGGAGGATGTTGTTGAGGAAGTGATTATACTGGTGGGGGTTGCGTGCGTTGTGTTGTAAAGTTCCACTGTCCCCTACTGGCCAGGCGCTAGAACTATATTGCACTTCAAAAAAGGAGCCTGCTTGTTTTTGCTAATTGCTTTCCAGCGTCTCTGCAGCGTCTCTACACAGGGCCTCAGTCCTGGACTACAGCCTCAGTCCTGGACTACAGCCTCAGAGGGTCAAAGCACAGGGGATATTGAGACTTTTTCAATCTGCTCAAACATCTGTATAGTTGGGTTTATTGGGTTGTCTTCATGGATCAGTGACCATAACTCAAGAACACAATTTTGCAATGACCTTTGAGATGACTGCTTGTTATTTTGGGCGGTACAAAAATACGTCTATTTGATTTGATC